AGATAATCAATGAATAAAGGAAGAAATCACAAGGAAATTTGGAAAATATGTTAGACTGAATGAAAATGAAAGAGAACATATCAAAATTTATGGCATATAGATAAAGTAGTGCTTAGAGGGAAATTCATAGACTCAATTGCTAGAGGGCAGAAAAACCTAAAATCAACACTCTAAACCACCACCATAAGAAGCGCAATGAATCTAAAGAAAACCATGCCAAGGGACATCATAGTCAAATTGCTGGAAACAAGTAATAAAGAGAAAGTTAGAAATGAATTCAGAAAAAAAAAAGACAAATAGGAACAAAGGTAAGAATTACAGTGTATTTCTCATCAGGAACTATGCAATCCAGAAGACGATGGAGAGGCATCGTTACTAAAAGAAGAACAGGGGAAACCTACAATTCTTTATAGACCAAAAATATATTTCAAAAATGGAGGTTAAATAAAGATATTTTTATAGAAATAAGAAAGACAATTTACAAAAGATCTTTCCTACAAAAAAAAAAGATAAATGAAGTTTTTCAGGCAAAAGAAAATGATAAGAGATGGAAATCAGGATTTACACAGGGAATGAAGAATGCCAGCAATGATTACTCACTAATTACAAAAGGAGAAATGGTAACTTACAGTTAAGAAGCTGGTGACTATCACCTTAATAAAGAGATCAAAGTTATTATTAATAATAAGATAAATCAACAATTTGCATTTTCTGATGCTGAGAAGGATATACATTATTTATGAAGTATTCATGAGAAAACAAACCCAGTTAAAGGACAATCTACAAAACAACTTGTTTATACGCTTCAAAAATATCAATGTCACAGAAGACAAAGAAAGGCTAAGGAGTAGTTATAGATTAAAGACTGGAGAAACATGCTAAGGAAATATAACATAGATCTTAGTTGGATACTGGATCAAAGGGAAAAGAAAATTACTGTAAAAGACAGTATTGCAGAAACTGACAAAATTTGAATATGTGCTGAATATTAGAGAATAGTATTGTATTAATATTAAATTCCTTTTTGCTGATTGCATGGTAATTAAATAAGAGAATATCATTTTTCTTAGAAAAGACAGGCAAACATTTAGGGTAGCAGGTCTGTACTGTATTCTCAAATACTTCTGCAAAATATATATGCTGTGTGTGTGTTAATTTTGCCTAAAAAGTTCTAAGGCTCTGATTTCACCTTATTTCTCTTGTCTTTTATATCCCAGTCACCTCCCTCAAATGGCCTCAAAGCTGGTCCACAACCCATTTCCCACTTAGTGCCTTTCCACAGAGAACAACCATTTTAAATATGTTCTATGCATTTAAGAAGGTAGCAAAAACATGAACAAAATGAGAAGAGTACCGGAATATTTTTAGAAATGAAACTTCAAGAGGTTAGAAACAAAATATCTGAAATTTAAAATGCACTAGAAAATATTACCTTGCAGTTTTTTTTTTTAACCACCCAATCGGCACACCCTTTTCCCATATTGTAAAGCAACTCTTGAAACATCATTTCCTTTAGGCATCCTTCCCAGATTGATCCAAAGAAAGAGCTCTACTCGAGACACGCCTGGAGTTACTTCCTCTACTACATATTTAACTTGGCTCAACCTGCCTTAAAAGGCTGTGCTTCCTGACCTGTATTAACATACTTACAGTTTCCTACCTTGCTATTTGTGGCTTGACTTAATGTGTTAAATTAGATCTGTGAGTCATTCTGTACATATATTCATCTCAGGGAACCTGTCTTAGACTTCAAAAGAACTATTTATTTAGTTTACTATGACTGGCTTTACCATTAAAAAAAAAAAAAAACTCTGATGTCCCAATTTCTAGTATTAGACTTCATTCTGAAATCCATGATAAAAATTAAATGCTGAACTTGTCCTCTGAGGAAGATGGAGGAGATATATATTTCCCTATTCCTCCCACTAAGTAAAACTAAAGACCTTAGCTAGACATTAGGTATAAAAATGTAAGAACTGTGAGTGGTAGAGAGAAGGTAGACTAGTTAGGGACCTCAGGTAGGGATCTCAAGTGATATGGGGGCGAGTTCCCTGAGATTTCTTTTCACATCATATGCCCAGATTAAGTACTGAAGAAAACAGCAGCATGGAAATGCCAGTGAGCCCAGACATAAGAATTCCCAGCAAAAGCCTCTCTCTAACTAAGCACCAGGAAAGTGGAAAACTTTTAGATAATAATTGCGCTACCACAGCCAAATATCTCAGGAAAAAAATGGAGTCCCACCCTAGAGTCCCCAGTAGCACAATCCATAATAGGAAAAGTTAACAAATGGAACTTTATAAAAATCTTAAAACGTAAGCTCTATGACTCTGCAAGAGGATGAAAAGGGCAAGCTACGGGTGGGAGAAATTATTTGCAAGCTGCATACTTGACAAAGGACTAGTATCTAGACAGGGGTGTCCACCTTTTTTTTTCCCCATGTTATACCTCACCTTGGAATAATAAGAGTTGTCTTGGGCCACACATTAAATACACAAACACTAACGGAAGCTGATTAGCAAAAAAAAAAAAGTCCTTGCATACTTTTTGTAATATCTAACACCACAGACAAGCAAAAAAAATCCTCACAAAATCAGCATGCAGCCTGTGGGCCACAGGTTGGACACCTCTGATCTAGAATTCATCAAGAACTCTTAAAACTGAGCAGTAAAAAATCAATCCAATTAGAAAATGGACAGAAGACACAGACATTTCACTGCAGAGGATCTGCAGATGGCACATAAATGCATGAAAAGGTGCATCTACTTCATTAGTCATTAAAACTCCACAATTAGTGCATACTAAAGCCACAAGGAGATACCATTACACATCTATCAGAATGTCTAAAACAAAAGAGACACCACCAAATTCTGTTAAGGATGCAGAGAAATCATTAATAGATGACTCAAACGTTACCGGTGAGAATGCAAAACGGTACAGCCACTGCGAAAAATAACTTGGCTATTTTTTAAAAGAAATGAACAAGCAAATACCAAATGACTGAAAAATTGAATTCTTGCGCATTTGTCCCTGAGAAATGAAAATGTATGTTCACATAAAAACTCGCACATGAATTGTTACAGCAGCTTTCTCCATTATAGTCAAAAACTAAAAGAACACAAATGTACTTCAATGAATAAACAGTTAAACAAAATGTGGCACATTCATACCAGTGACAATACTTGGTAATAATAAGGAATGAGCTATCGATGCATGCAAACAACCTGCATGACTCTCCAGAGAATAATACTGACTTAAAAAACAGCCACTCGCTGAAGGTTACATACGGTACAATTCTATTTAAATATACATTCTTGAAATAACAAAATTACAAAAATGGAGAACAGATTTCTATTAATAGTTGCCAGGCACTGAGGAAAGGATGAGAGTAAGAGGGAAGTGAGTGGGGCTCTCAAAGGCCACTCACTCTGTATTTGTTGATAGAAATATTCTGTATCTTGACTGTCAATTTCAATAACTTGGTTTTGCCGTAGTTTCAATAACTACGGTAATGCCGTAGTTTTGCAAGATATTGTTGGGGGAAGCTGAATGGAGAGAGGATCCCTGTTTTAGTTCTTACAACTGTGTTTGAATCTAAAATTATCACAAAATGAAAAGCTTATTTTTTAAAAATAGCAAATACACCAGAGGAGATCACATTTGGCTGTTTTTAGTCTTTTAGACCTTAGTGTAAAAAATATTTTGACAGCTAATCCTTCAGGGAGAACAGGATGACCCTGGGTGCCTTGTGAAAAGAAGTGGATACACAATAGAGGTTAAAGCGCCAAAGAAAAAAAAAAGAAAGAAAGAAATTGAACTTCACCAACTTTTAAATTAAGTCCTTGCATAATTTCTTAATAGGCTAAGATAAATACACTGTTAGATACAATATATCTTTCATGCTATTGCTACACAAAGTATTATTGATTTACGTTATTAAGCTACACTGAGGGAGGACCACTTACAAGCCAAGGCAGGCTTTATTTATGAAAGCTACATATGTTTTGGTGGCAATTACAGGCTTGAAGGACAAATGTAACAATATTTGACTTTGAGGCCTTCCAAACCTCTGTTTTTCTTGTCTTCTAGAGATTATATAGGCGGCTTATGCTCTCCTCTAATCAATTCTTCATTATGAAATGGTGTTTGCTCAGTTTGTGAGTTCCTGTTGCTACTGTCCTGTGCGGTGTTGCTGGTGCCACCGTATTACAGCCATTGCTCCAATACCTGTTCTCAGCTTCCCTTCTCATCACTGCCACCACCCCTGTGTTTCTTGGAGTTAAAGAAAGGTTTACTCAATTACTGCATGAGTTAGGACCAAAAAGTGAAGCTATTTTCCATTTTTCTGTCTTCTTTGTTGAAGGAACCAGGTCAAGTCCCCACGAGATATTTCTAAAAGGCACATATACCTGCCCCTGCCTGGCTGCACCAGAGCAGATCACTTTTAACATCCCCTTTTCTATGTGACAGTTTTTTTCAGTAATAATTATGAAATTAAATAATCATCATGGCCAGAAAAGAAACACAGATAATAAAATTTTTACTTTATTTAAATGAGTACGTATGCACGTACACATACATACATACATGTCAGCCAAAAAAATACTATTTATAAATATGACAATGCATAAAAGGAAATCAGTAATAGATTAATCCTTCTTGATTATAATGCATTTTTGAAGTCAAAGATTAAAACAATTCATGCTAACATATTAGTGTGTTATGATAATGAGTAATGACACACTTTAAAAACAAACAAAAAGGAAGAATTTTCCCCCATATCAGGAGCATGCGGCAGGCATGGCAGCCGGTAACACCTCCCTGTCCAGCCCGCTGCCCAGGAGCCTGTGTGTGCTGTGTCTCCGGCCCACAGGGGCCATTGCACCATGTGACCCTGGCTGCATATTAAACTCTCAAATCAGCCTCCCCCCCCCAGGAAGATATTTCCATTTAAAATGTATTATTAAAATTAAGTAAGAAAATACTGTTAATGAACGAAGTCCAGGTATAGTGGCTCCTACTTGTAATCCTAGCACTTTGAGAGGCCAAGGCAGGAGTATAGTTTGATTTGAGACCAGGATGGGCAACAGAGCAAGACCTCCATCTCTACAAAACCTTTAAAAATTAGCCAGGCATTGTGTTGTCTGCCCGTAGTTCTAGCTACTTGGGAGGCTGAGGAAGGAGGATCCCTTGTGGAGCTGGAGGTTACTGTGAGCTATCATCAGGCTACTGTACTCCAGCATGGGTGACAGAGTAAGACCCTGTCTCTAAAAATAAAAAATATAAAAATTTGTGAATGAACTAAAATGTACACTTGCCAAACAAAAATATGATGCCTCAAATTTTATATTGTTTCACTGATTTAATTTTCAAACATAATTAAAAAGTCTAAATGGTGACATAGCAAGATGAAATTTTAGTAACTCAACTTCAGTTTCCGTCTTTGCAATCACTTTGGTATGAGCATTT